AGCAGGGACACACAGGGACAAGGCCCCCACAGCAGGGACAGGGGACCCAGAGCAAGGACAGGGCCCTCAGAACAGGGACAGGGCCCCCACAGGGCCCAGTTGCCTCCCCACACCCACCTCCCCCAAATTTCACAGGGTTTTTTGGGGGATTTAAACAGCCACAGGGATGGTCAGCGGATCCTCCAACAGAGATTCCATCATCATGGAATCCCAGACTGGTTTGGGTTGGGAGCAACCTTAAAAATCATCTTGTTACAACCCCCTGTCACGGGCAGGGACATCTTCTGCTATCTCAGGTTTTTCCAAACCCTGTACAGGGATTTGGAAAAGGATAGGCTTATCCTTGGAACGGGACAGCCACAATTTCTCTGGGCAACCTCTGCCACAGCCCCAACACCCAGCATCTCTCAGGGCAGGAAAAAGGGGAAGCACCACAAGCAGGGAACCCCAGAGTGGCTCCCAAAGTGACAAAGGGGACCAAGGAAGTGGCAGGAAAAATCCAGCCCCCAGTGCCCGGAGCAGCCGGTGCTCCCTGTGGTTGCTCTTGCAGAGGCTCTCGGTGTTTCCTAGCACTGCTGCTGCCATGGAAACTACTTATTTTTAGCTGATGTGAATGTATCAAAACCTGGGTAAAAATAGCTTGGGATGGAGGGGGTCTCTGGAGCAGAATTGTGCAGGAAGGGAAAAAGCCAGGGGGAGAGGAAAAAAAAAGAGCGAGGGAAAGAGAATAGAAAACAAGGAGGAAAGAAATATAGAGAAAGGGAGGAAAGAGAAAAGGTAAAGGGGAGAAAAGGAAAAGAGAAGGGGGTAAATGGAAAATAAAAAAGGGAAAAAAGTTAAAATGTTCAATTTCTGGGCATGGAGCATCAGCATTGCCAAGGAATGCTGCGCAGCAGACAGACAAGAGGATTTTGACACCCACTAAGGCCCTCAGCCAGGTCTCTCAGGGTTTAACCCCTGCTGTACCACATCCCCCACAGGGCAGGAGCCCAGGGGGAAACAACAGGATCCGCTGGGATGCTGAATCACCCCCAGTGCCCTAGCCAGGGTGACTCAGGGTGACAGAGGTGACCCAAGAGACCCAAAGCAGTGGAATTATTTGAGACCAGCTCCCAGCGCAGGCTGCCTGCAGTTTTTTTGGGACCTGCCAGGCATGATGAGCCCAACCCCAAAACCCCC